AAATGGTAGGGGCATTAGTCATATGCTCAGATRCTCCYGARTMTWTAATCCARGGAGGTCCCTCCTTACCTGAAGTGGATGCAAGATTTGCAGTTGCATATGAACTACCTGTATGTGCAAAGGAAGTGGTGTAGTTGGCTCCTGATTCTGCTGTCCATTTGGAAGGCTAGAGCTAGGTGAATATTTCTTACTCATAAGCTGTCCAAACGTCTCCAATTTTGTTCTCACTACTGCTAGTGTAATGGATTCCCAATCAGTTTGGGAGAGAGGGGATGAAGAGTCTCCTGTAGTGGCTACATTTGCATTTCCCTTCTTGTTTCTTATTCGAGTAGGCATAAGATTTGGACGAAGCTTCCAACAAGTGTCCCTGGTATGCTTAGGCTTCTTGCAATAATCATACACCAAGTCCTTATCTTCTCTTCTAGTCTCACTACTCCCTCTGTCTCCATTCGGCATAGGTGTTGTTGTACCAACCATAGCCGATTGGTCAATCCCAGGCTGTCTTAGCATTACATTCCTCCTACTTTCCTCTCCAGAGACAAAAGCATAGGCCTGAGAGAGTGTCACACCCTCCCAAGAAAGAATATGCTGCCTAGCAATGTCAAATTCAGGGTTCAACCCTACCAAAAACTCAAAAGCCCTATTCCTCTCTACCAGTTTGTGATAAGTTGTTGCATCATTTACACTTTCCCATAGCACAGTTTCTAAGTGATCTATTTCCTATCATAGGGTTTTTAGCATTGAGAAATACACAGCAAGAGGCTTTTCTCCTTGTTTCGTAATTATCACCTGATTTCTTAACTAATAGGCTCTGGCTTCATTTTGCTTATGAGTGTAGGTTTTAGTTACTCCATCCCAAATCTCCTTAGCAGTATTAGCACATAGGAAATTTTTTGCAATATGAGGTAACATAGAATTATACAACCAGGACATTACCATGTAATTCTCTTGCACCCATCGGGAAGAGTCTGTATCAGGTTTCTTCTCCTCCTCAATGAGATACCCTAATTTTCCACGGGCACCAATAGCCATCTTAGCTGATTGTGCCCACTCCAAATAATTTGTACCATCAAGTTTTACTATAGTAATGATCACAGACCAAAAAATATCACTATTACCTTCAACACCCAGTTCCATAGTACTAGTAGATTTCATCTCGATATTCCAACTCTCTATTTTACTTCAAATAATTCAACAGTAAGAAAAAAAATAGATTGGAGACCTTCAAAAAATAATTTAATACCACACACACAGAAACCAACCATTCCGGAAGAAGAAAACCATAATTGGAGGGAAATCTCTCTTCTTCCCACGCCTCCCAATAGAGAGAAAAGTGAATCGATCACTCCAAGAGGCCTAGAAAATTTCAGAAACCAAACCGCCCTCTTCATAAAATCAAAAGAAAACTAACAATACTTAGGCACCTAAGATCAGATAAAAAACAAAGAGTCCAACTTTTTTGGGACTCTTCCCCGTGCTCCAGTTCTTCCTGATTTTGATGCTGAACAGTAGATCACCTTCCTGATGTCTAGATCCCACCAAAAACTCCAAGAACTAGGCAATTTATAGCAGATCGATCATCCCTTTACTACTTCATGCAATCGGTTGATCTAGGGCTGCATGAGAATGCTTCAAGAAACCCTAGTCAATGCTCTGATACCAGGTAGGAATCTGCTGAATTAACAAATATGAAAGAAAGTAGTTTCTTGAAGAGAGAAGGAAGAGAGAAGGAGAAGAAAAGAGAAGAAGAGAAGTTGAAAAGAAAAGAGAGCAATTAATCTGGCCACCCCCTTCACTTATTATTTATACTAAAATAATAGAACACTACGAAGACAACTATGCCCTTATAGGGCGACAAAACATAAAACATCATATATAACACTCAAAAACATAATAAAATTTGGACTCACATAACTATTGTGGTCTCCACCTCCTATCTAACAACTAATATAAAACATCTACTCAGAAAAACAACATAAAACTAATTAATCTTCAACAGGTTAAATGGTTTTTCTGGAAAAAGATCAAAAGCTCTGTAATTGAATCTAGGGTAAAGTTTGTATTTGGCATCATTGTTGTTTCTACAGTTCTACTAGAAACTTTGGGGTTTATCTAGGGTTGCCAACAAGTTGGATTCAACACAGGTTTGTCTCGACCCTCTAGTGTCCCAACCCAAACCTGATCCGAACTGACTAAAAATGCATAATTTCTGAGCCTGACTCAACCCTATAGGGTCTAACATGATACCGACCTGACCCGTAGCATTTCAGTTGTATTTTTTTAACACGTTTTGCAAACCTAAAAGCCATTAATTTAAGCTAGGAAGTTGCTTTATAAATTCTAAGGTGTCACTTTTCCCATTTTGAAAAGAAACAAAATCAAAATCAACATATAAAGAAATCCTAAACTTTAAGGCAATGAAGTTGAAAGTCAAAAAGTTACAAGAATACTATGTATATATGTAGGGGCATCATGGCGTGATGAGGGGGGTCAGCTAAAAATTGAACCCAACTCGGGTCAAAGAAACAAGACTTTAACCCGACTCTAAAACTATATATGCTTGAACCTAACCCAACCCTTTAAGGTCGAGCCATGCCAGGTTTATCAATACAGATTTTTGAAAAATTAATTGTCATGTTATATCACATCATAAAACCACTTCCACTAAAAAAATGTATGCATTGAATTGATGTTGGCATTTATAACATAAACACATTAAGAAGTGACAATAGTACCAGCATTTAACTTAAATAGTGGCCTACTTTATCAAAAAATTGTATTAATAAACCCCCAAATGATTTATAGTAGAAGCATCAAGTATGAAATGATACCAAACACAACCTAAGATAGCATTTCCCAAATAATCTTTATTCCGAAAATCAACAAAAGACAACCTTTTGAAATAGAAAGTATGCTTTTCCTTTTGGGGTTTTTATAGTTCAGTCCACCCCTAGGGTGGAGCTAAGATTTCTAGGGGTAGACTAAATTCTGCCTGTGGATTGATGCCAAATTCATGGGCAGGATGTGATTTATAAGGGGGGGAAGGGGCTACTAGTAGACTAAGGAGGGGGCTGCAATTTCAGATATCTGAGGTGGATTGAAGTCCATTTATCCCTTTCCTTTTCAGAGTTCACTTTGTATCTCGTCTGTTGATATAATGTATAAGACCTACATGAGAAAATATAGATATCAATAAAGAGTAATCTTTGGAAAATCCTTTTAGGAATACCAACCACTCTGGGAATGTCTCTGATCATTGTCTAAGTTAAGACTTATGGTTGTATTTGAATTGAAGGGAAAGATAGGAAAAGGAAGGAAAACGTAGAAAAACCTTTACAAACCTTATACAAGTTTCCTATCTTTCCCTACCTTTTCTTTCAAACCAAACATATCAAACTTATTCCAACTTCCTAAAATCAGCCTCTTTGTTGCCAACCCAAAATCAGCATGTTTGTTGGTGGCGGGGCTTTTTTGAGGGCCCTTCACTCATATCAACTGTAAGTATTTATGTGGCGACAGGAAGTCCTTTCGTTGAACCTTTGAACCTTGAATGGTTAAAAACACCGTATGATGGTACATGGATAACCTTGTCCATTATTATAAAGTACACATCGCAAATGCTCCTGTTGTGATTAATTCGCCGTTTGTAAAAGGTTAAAAAAGATATCATTGCTTCTTATTCCTTTATCTCATTGATATCGTCGCCAGCTTTTGGCGGAGAACTCGATGACCACCGGATCTGCTCCTCACATATGTGGTTTCACAGTTTCATTCCACGTACATCGGGAACATTTTCCGTATCTACGAGAAATGTTCTTAATATATGGCAGGATGTGTCTGTCAGGTCATCGTGAGGCGCTCTGTGTGAGGAGAAGATTCCAATTCTGATTTGACCGGGCAAGATTGACTGAACCGGGATTTTGGGCACTTTACATGCTCATCCACCGTGCATTAGAAACATCTCCCGTGAATAATAACTTAATAAGTACGGGAGATGGTTCCAATGCATGGTACAATGTGCGTGTGAGGCGTGAGTGAAGCGCCTTCTGTGAGGAGCAGATCCGGTCTCGGATTGACCACAGAATCTCTGCTGCCAAGAGCAGTCTTTTAAGCTGTGTTTGGTTTGAAGGAAGGAAAAGATATGAAAAAGGTAGGGATTAGAGAAACGGGAAACCTATAATTGTGTTTGGTTTGAAGGAAAAAATAGGGAAAGGAAGGAAGAGGTAGAAAAACCTTTACAAACCTTGTATAAATTTCCCTGTTTTTCGCTACGTTTTCCTTCAAACCAAACATAGCCATATAGTTACAAGTTGTGCAAGTTTCCTTACCTTTCCTACGTTTTACTTCAAACCAAACACAGCCTTATTTTAAGGCTTATTCCAAAAAAGGAAAACGAAACATCGCCATGAAGCAAACTCGGGTCACAATCACGATTTAGTAGAAGTTGTGATAAATTGACGAGAAGTTGGGAGTTGGAACTTAGAAATTAGATATTCATAGACTAACAAAACCACGATAGGTCTGGCTTCAACCACGTTACTCCCAAGCCGGCACTAGGCTCCTTTAGTCCACATCCTTCAAATGAGGCACACAAACAACCACCATTTCTTTCTTCCTCCTCCACTTGATTACTTTTTTATAAATTTCACATATTTTAAATCACATACAATACCCAAAGTACCCCTCTTTAAAAATCCCAGAGACTTTGCCGAGTTAGCTAGTAGTGATCAGTGGTTCGACCAGGGTTTTGTAACTCTAGCTTGGATTTTGGTTTGGTCTGGTGTAGCTCAAGCCTCAAATCACTGGCATAATGTACGTGTTCATTATCGCCAGCCAAGGAGAGTAGGTCCATCGGCCGGTTGAAAATACGGCCACGTAACCCGTGGCTCGTTCGGAGATTCATTATAACATGGAGGGTATTCTGCAATCTGCATAACCCGTTTTATATCATTTAAAAATGAAAGAAAATAAATAAGAGAATCAAATACTGTTCTTCTATACCTTCACCATCTCCAAGACATGAGCTTTGGTTCGATGGGAGCCTCTAGTTTGTCTTGGTCCCCAAGCCCAATAAACTCCACTACCACCACCACCGCCACCGCCGCTGTTTCTTCTGAATGGACCATGAGGAACTTCTCGACGGACTTCGATCGTCCAATACAATTCCAAAGCCACGAAGAAGAGCAGAAACAAGATGTACAACCGGAAGGAGGAGGAGGAGGAGAAGAAGAAGGAGAAGAAAAAGCTCGCTATGAATGGGACTTCAATCTCGTCACCGTCGTCTCTTCCAGCACAGTTGGAGCGATATCCGATACTCTGGGCGTGATCGAGTTCGATCCTTCTGATTACCTTTTAGCAACAGGAGGAATCGCCAGAAAAATCCGGGTTTATAGTTTTGGTTCTTTGTTACCACATGAATCTAGCCACGATACGCAGGACACCACCTACCTAGACCACACCCGTGCATGTGACTACTACATATGCACCCCGGCGAAGCTCAGCAGTCTCCGGTGGAAGCCCAACACTGGAAGTCGTGTGTTGGGGTCGGGAGACTACGATGGGGTTGTCACGGAGTATGATCTCGAGCGTCGGGTGCCCATATTCGAGCGTGACGAACACGGCGGGCGGCGCGTCTGGAGCGTAGATTACTCACATTGGGTCCCTGTCCTTGGGGCATCGGGGTCCGACGACGGGAGCGTACAAATGTGGGACACCCGTTGTGGTGGTGGAATGTGCGTGTCTGCAGCACAACCAAGCGCATCGCGAAGCTCCGTGTGTTGCGTGGAATTTGACCCGAATGGTGGGTCCTTGTTTGCCGTGGGGTGCGCAGATCGGAGGGCGTACGCCTACGATGTCCGGAAAATGTCAGCTCCGGTCCTGGTTTTTCATGGTCACCGAAGGACTGTGACTTATGTACGTTTCCTCGAGGAGAGCATGATCGTTACGGCAGGAACCGACGGGTGCCTGAAGCTCTGGGACATGGGTGATGCCCGCGCAATTCGCACGTACGAGGGTCATCTGAACAGTCGGAGCTTTGTTGGGCTATCGGTCTGGAGGAACGGGGGACTGCTTGGATGCGGGTCGGAGAGCAACGAGGTGTTTGTGTATGATAAGAGGTGGCGTGATCCCATATGGGTCCGGGGATTTGGATCCATTTCTCATGATAATGGGTTCGTCAGTAGCGTATGCTGGAGGCAGGTCGGAGAGAATGAAGCTACGCTTCTGGCCGGGGGACCTGACGGCGTCCTACAGGTTTTTGTGGGCAAAAGAAAGTCACCTTCGTTTGGTGGTTTCGCCCATTCTCCTACAATTTGATTTCAGTTGCTTCCTTTTAATTCCTTCTCATCTTTCTTTTCTTTTTTTTTTTCTTGGTCTATTTTCTTAAGAAATAAGAACAAAGAAAATAAAAGAAAAAAAGCAGATACGTAACTTGGCTTGTTTATATGGAATCTGCTACAATTGCTCAACCATTGCCTTCACAGTTTGATCACTTCAAAATCAAAATTGAAGCTCTCTCTCTCTCTCTCCTTTATTTTGATGGCTGGGTGAACTTTTGCCACTCCTCGACGCAGGATTCATGCAGCTGACCTATATTGTATGATAAGATTTGATTTTATGTGGCGTTTGATAAATCGATAACTTGGAATTTTGATGCTTGAAAGCTAAAAACCTAGTTTTCAGGTTTAAAGCCTAAAAAGTGGTAGATATGATTTTCTTTTGCTTTTCAGAGCTTCTGAAAATATAACTGTATTTGCGTTTGGATGCTTTTCTTATTCTTCCTCCCTCCTCGATCCGGCTGTCGACCACGCTCAGATAGATGCAATATATATGCACAAATATCAAAGAATAAATAAAGAAACTAACAATAAGAGCTTATGTACAAAGATTTTTTAATTAATTTCGGCTAATTAATTCTTTCTAGTTTAGTGGTTGCCAAACTTGTGTGAGAGCTTTTATTGATAATTGAGGAGATTTACTATTCTGAATTGAGATCTGTCATTAGCAGCGGCTAAATATCCTTTACTCTCAGTTGCTATTCTGATTGAGAACTTCCATTGGTAATTGCTAGTTCTGGAGGTCTTTCCTTAATTCTCTCTCTCTCCCTTCCTGCCACTCTTCCTTGCAGCCTCCTCAGTTGACAAAATACAGCAAAGCCATTGCTCATCTTCAACCTCCGAACATTATAGATCACCACTATCACTATCAATTCCTGCAGTGCTCGCCGTTGGAGAAGATGCACTCAAACAATAATGGGTTTAAAAGAAGAGGCAGCATGGCTCATTTCCAAAAATTTTAGGGGCATTTAAGACTTTGTGAAGTTTTATAACGCATTGACCATGTTATACCAATGAGGCATCTAATATAAAATAATGTGGATAGAATAGAACCCCCTATTTAAACACGTGGTTTCCTATTAATTCAGGAAATAACATTTCATTTGCTCCCATTTTTAAATAGAACTAATAGAATGGCCCATGCGATGCACGGGGTATTTGATATTGATGGTGATCTGTAACTATACTTTTATTTTTCGGGCATAGATGAAAGTTTATAAACTGTTCAAGTCGATCCTATGGCAATTATATAATACATAAAAAATACTATCCTCACAAAATGCCAAGATCTAAATTTTATAATATGTATATAATGTTGGTTGCAAAATTTATGGAGATGCCACTCTTAACCGATCTTCTATTTTGTAATAACCTAAAACCTATGAAAATAATTACTATTAATGGTTATAAGTAAACAAAGCTATTATGCTATTTACACAAGTAACCATTGAATAGCAGAAGTCATTATCTAAGATGACTATTAAATGACTTACATTTACACTTAAAACATTTTCTTCTTACTTTTTAACTAAGAGGAGATAAAGAAATTAGTTGAAAGAAAAATTTATCAACCAACCACCAAACTAACATGTATGCAAACACCTTCTAGGCATGTTGAGCACCTCCGCATATTTGTCCAAGAATAAAACAATCGAACAATTCATAATGTGTCATAGTGTTGCATACGACTTAGGACATGAGTTGTAGGCCCTACTTTACAACCACAGACATGATAACATACAGTCCTAATGGACAAATGCCCTTAGAAGACTTGGGCCTAATTGACAAACATGTCTAGGGCCCATGGAATGAAATTTTTATATTTTCATTTTTCTATAATTTATGGTTTTCTTTGTTTTCTTTGTAATTTTTGTTATTTTTCATCAATTTTTATGATTTTCTACATTTTTTGTAAATTCTTTTGTGCATTTATTTATTTTTTGTAATTTATATTAATTTCTTCATTTTTTTGTGTTTTTTATAATTATTTTGTAATTTTTATTTTTTCTTTAATTTATGTTATTTTCTACATTTTATATCTTTATTTATATATTACGTATTTTTTTATAGTTATATTTTCTAGAATTTATGTATTATGTGAAAAATTAATGGGTTGGGTTATGGTAGGTTTGGGTTGAACCCAAAATGGGTCAGTAGTGGGTTGATGGGTTAGGTGGGTTGGGTTGAAGCCCAACCCAAACCTAAGTACCTAACCCACCCAATTTCCTTTTAGAAATGATAATGGTTTTTT